GAACAGAACACTATTTCAAATACAAAGCAAAGCAACTACACTTTGTTTTGCAAGAGTAAATCACTGGCTTCCTTTTTATTTTATAATCCCATAAAAACATGAATCCTGGTCTAAATAATTCCTGTAAAGCCCCTTCCCACCCAAACCATCCTGATATTCTGTGATTTGCTGACCAGCTCAGTTAAAGAAGTGGGGGAAATCCCTGTGCATGCACACTGTTCAAGTATTTCATGTTCCTCACACGGCAGAGCAGAAAGGTTTTTACTTTGGTTTGGGGTCTTTTTTACAGCTTTTATACAAACAGGATCAAACCCTCAATGATTCCAGGGTTTTGCCAATAGTAGTGTTTCCTTTTTAACTGTAAAAGTGTTTCCTTTTTAACTGAATGCTGATCTTTTAATGGCTGCTCAGCATTTTTGACACCTTCCACCCCTTTTGCTAATGGAACTGCAGACAAAAATAACTGCTAGAGAGTTTTCCCAGTGACAATCATTATGAAGCGTGATTCTGGTGGCATAAAGTTCTCATTACATTCCCATTATATTTTTGGTAAGTCCCACGCTGCCACAGCACAAAGGGATTCAGAAATCAGCCAAACCATAGTCTGGGTTACACCAGTACAATAGTTCTGGTGTAGCAGTACCTGCCCCCTCTCAGCCCTTATCTACAGCCACAGCAACACATGAGAGCAGAATAAACCCCTGCACTGGCCCAGCCCTCCTGTGCCACTGACAGTGTTTCTTTGCTGACAACCCAGACTTACAGAAAGTTGAGCAATTATTCTCTGCATTTACCTGAAACTCTAAGGACACACATTTTCTTCTAATGATTCACCAAGTATAACCTTTGCACAGGATCAGATTCTCTTATTAAGATAAATTTAGCCACCTTGTTGAGATTAAGATCAACTTTACATTTAGAAAACAAGGCTCCTGATGTTGTGATTTATATGTCTATAAAAGCCATATATTTAGTATGCATGATATACAGTAACTCAGGTATGCACTAAATTTCATGCTGAAAGCTGCTGATGCCTCAGGCTACTGAGCGAGATGATACATGATCCTGTACATAAGGAGATTGCAAAGCAGTTTCTTAATTTACCTCTAAATTACAGTTACCAGAGGGTTTTCTGAGTATTTGTCTCTAAATGTCTTGTAGTCTGGTAATAACAACTGCAGGTACTATGAAAGTAAAATTGCCAGCTTCTGGTTGAACTCGTATATCCGCGATGAACAAAAGTCTAAGTTTTTAAATTTGTAAAGGTCTTGTTCACATGGTTTTTAGAATGCCACAATACATGTATCCTTTCCTATGGTCAATTTACCTGAAAATATTACTGTGCAAAACAAGGCATGTATGTATACACACTCAAGCACTAAGCCAAATGTTTATAAAATTTTAAGTGTTCTGTTTTGCTTTACTGTTATTTCCTTTCTTGCAACAGATCATTCATTTGATTACAGGCCTGTGCCTATAAAAGTCAGGACTGCAGGTTCTAACTGAAAACTAGAAAGAGTTCTTGTTTCAAGACAGTTTCATTACTCTACCTTAAGTATATGTATGTTATTCAAACTTCATTGAAGGAAACCTACCCAGGCACAGCAACTCTTCCTATCAAGTCCATTTCAGAAAAACAGATCTCACAGGAACAGAGCTGGAGGGCACATTCCAGTAGATGAAATTTGTACCCAAATAAATGCAATCATAAAAATTAGAAACAGTTTTAAAAAATTTGAAGTTCTACGAGCCACTATTTTTGATTATTTTTTGAAAACTTCTCCAGGAGTTTAATAATAAGCAGCGTTTTGTTTGAAGCTGGTTTTCAAAGGGGCAGGCCAACACTCTTACAGCCCAGCCTGCAGGAGCAGGATGACAGTAATGGTGGGTCAGAAGGTGAGAGGAGAAAAAGCCTTGAATCAGAAACCCCATCACCTGCCACCAGGTTGATCTATTGTAGGGGAACTAAAAATGACATTTTTAGCTTCAAATTTACAAAACCACCTGTAAGCTTGGCTTTTTCCTTCTCAGCAGCTACCAATTCTAAAGGCACTAAATGGTGAGGTGCCTGTGAAACTGCACAATTCCAGAGCTGGAATTAAAAAAAACACCAAATACTCCACTTAAATCACAAGTTCCAGAAGAACTGTCAATAGTGCAGGTCCTCCCAAATTGCATCAGCTCCTCCTGACTGGAGCTGTGGGGAACAGGCAGAGCTGAGACAACTGAACAGACCTGGCAGGAAAATGCCAAAGGAGTGATGTCCATGTACAAGGGAACACAAGTTAGACAGATGCAGCTTCAAGGTAACTTACCAATTTATTCTTAATTTTCACTGAGCTGTTTCCATTTCTGTTTGCAAGCAAAACACTGGTTTTTGGTTTTTTTTAGCTACAGTACTGAACAATTGCCTGAGATAAGCCCCTTCAGTATTTCCAAATAAAGCCCTCTGATATTTCCAAAGCCAAATACACAACCTTAAATTTCCTGGACTTAAAGGGTAAAGATTTTTAGAGAAGCTGGAAACTGTCTTACAGAAAATTGCAAGCCCTAAACATCTCCATGGATAGCACCCCTCATTTTCTAAAAGGACAGGAAAAAATTAATTTGAAGGTAAATATTATAATTTTACCCTTACTAAAACTCGTGTTGCCAACTTCAATGTGAATTCACTGAACTCCATAATTATGCTGTAGAGCAGTAATTCCTAGACCAAATTCTAAATCCTTCTTATTTTGTCATAGGTAGATTAATGTCAAACCAAAGCTGACTGTAATGCTAAAACACACACAAAACCCAGAAAGCAACTCAATACTTACTGTAGTTTGTTAAGAATACAAAAATTTTTATCTTCTCAAGATGAAGCTAATCCTCATCACAGAATGATTTGGATTGGAAGGGACCTTAAAGTTCATCCCATCCCACCCCCTGCCATGGGCAGGGACACCTTCCACCAGCCCAGGTTGCTCCAAGCCCCATCCAACCTGGTCTTGGACACTTCCAGGGATGGGGCAGCCACAGCTTCTCTGGGCAACCTGTGCCAGGGTCTCACCCCCCTGACAGGGGAGAATTTCTTCCTCATATCCAGTCTAAACCTGTTCTCTGTCAGTTTGAAGCCATTCCCCTGGTCCTGTCACTGCAGTTCCTGATGAACAGTCCCTCTCCAGCTTCCCTGTAGGGTCCCTTCAGATCCTGGAAGGTGCTGTGAGGTCTCCACACAACCTTCTCTCCTCCAGTCATACATTCTCCCCATTACAAAAATAGGGGCTATATTTTTTATTATTTATTATTAGTAGTGTGCTATTACTGCATTTACTAAAGTATTAATGATGTTACTGGGAAAAGAGCTCTACTGGGACTGGAAATCATGGAACAGCACACGTGAAAGCCTCCCTTCGTTCCAGAGCCAGCAGGCACTTCAAGAGCCTCTGGTAAGGCTGTTCCCAGGGTTTTCCTGTTGGGCAGGAGGCCCCCAGCCAAGCTGGTCAGAGAGGAAGACCCTTCCCCAGCTCGTGCCCACAGTTGCCACCGTGAGGCACACAAAGAACAGCCACTGCTGAAGTCCAAGGTCCCTCAGTGCACTGGGCACTTGGCTTGTTGTACACCCACCATCTGCCCTGTTTACATTATTGTTGACTGAATACACAGAGCAAACTCTGTAAACCCAGCACGGGGTATAAATCAGACCTATACTGTGAGATCCACTCCGAGGGGAGCTGGGAACCAGAACTCCCTCAGTCTTCATTCAGTGTGAGGGCTGACCATGCACCACCCTGAACACCCAACCCTCCCCTCTGAACCTGCCTTACTGTGCAGTGAGAGCAGCTGCTTCCCCCTCCTCATGAGCACGTGTTTATGGATGCAAACTGCCTCAGGAACGAGCAGTGTGTTTATCTGAACCCATTTGGATGTATCAAACCAGGGAAGCTGCAGACAGGATATCACATTACCAGCCTTTCCAAAGTTTCCACGGCACCTCAATGGTGTTCCGTGATATCACACACACCAATCTGAGCAATTTTCAAGACACTATAAGGCAATAATATTTTCAGGCAGTTCATAGCAAGTTAATACTCAACTTCCACTGAAAACACTAAGTCTGCTTAATTGCTCCAGGGGCCTTTGAAAATCTCAGCAAAAGAGAACAATAAGCAGTAAATCAACCCTTTCAAAACGAAAACAACCCCCTCCCCTCCACTGTCATCAGGTATTCCACAAAAATGTATTTCACTTCCACAAACACGTATTACATCATAGCAGGGCAGAGACAGAGCTATGCAAGAGTGATTAACAGGACTAATAAAACTTCTCAGAAATATTAAAACCTTTGCTTATATACTCTAATACGAACAGGGAGTGGAAGATCATTTCCATATTCCCCATTTAGAAGACCATACTATTAGAATTTGTCAGACAAAGACACTTTTGGCAGTGCTTTTCTCGCTGAAATTAAGTTAGTCTAACAAATCCTGGAGGAAAGCCACATCTTTTATCATTCAAAGAAAAAAAAAATCGTATTTAAAGCTTGCTGCCCTTTCCTCTTTTTTCTCACTGTGCAAACAAAACTGATTTTCTATACAGGAATTATAAAATAAAGGGTTCCAAGTGATTTGATAGAAGTAGACCTACATCTGTGACATGAAAAACGGAGGGACTAATTCAAAGACTTAAAATTCAGTTCATGTAACAATTCCCACCCATTTACCTTCACCTGAAGTTGAAATTTAGTCTCAGGCTAAAGAAAGTGCAAAAGTGAAAACCACAAAGGAACTAGGCACTGGTTTGCATTCTATAGGGCTGGAGCATAAGGTAAGCAGGCAAACATTGCATTGTTACTAAAAAACTCAGCATAATTGTGATAGTAATTCAAAGACACACAAAAAACCGCCTCCTTTACACCATCAATTCCAACCCCTATTTCTAGACCAGCAATATATTCACATCAAGGTCAGGCATCTGTTTACATGTCAGAGTCCTGCCAGAACAATGTGTAAACTCACCTTGTCTTGGTTTTCCTTATTTTTGTAACACAAATTTCCAATCAAACGAATGAGATGAGATTTAAAACCCACGGCTGGATGTGAAACTTCTTCCTGCCCTGTCACGGCATGTGTGGCAGTGAAAACATTCACAGCTTGTTTCCCAGCAAGGTGAGTTAATCTCAGGGTATCTACAGAAAAGAAAACCACTTTAATTCAGCACCACATGGAAATCACTTGGCACAGAGTTTCACTATTGATTGTTGAGCTCAAAGTTAAACAGCCCAGTGTCAGATATTCAGCTCCGTGTCAGGAGAACTGTGACAGTTTGCTTCCTTCCGTGGTTTGTGGTAGTACAGCCATGAAAGACCACCCTAAGAGGGGATTTTTGCACACTTTTTACACACTAACATGGTTCAGATACGAAGTCTGAAGGCTGCTGTTCTCCATCTCCATTTGAAGAGGCTGTTGAGGATTCTGGCACCACAAATACACTGCTAAAAACAATGGGGGGTTTGGGTTCTTTTTTTAACCTATTTCTCTTCACGGTCCATAAGCTTTTACAATTTTCTCACAAAATGGTGGCATACCTCAGTCTCAGAAAGTGCTGAAACTAGGAAAGCACAGGTCAGGGTATGTACACCCCCTCCTCACTCCTCCCTGATGAGTATACAGAGCCTGTCTGGAACATCCTGGTTCTTTTCTTCCCTTGCTCTTTCTTAGTTTCTTTCAGACTGACCTTTAAAGGTCACTGAACTTGGTTGGTAACATTCACACTGCACTTCAGGTTGAGTTCTCAGAAATTTGGGAAACTGAAGGGAACAGGTATGGAGGAAAATCCCTGTTTGTACCTGTGGAGGGACTTCTTCCATGCATCCAGCCAGTGGAAGAACACGGGCAGCAGCTGTGCTGCCCCTTGCACCGCTCTGTGCATGAACAGCACATTGCTGACACCTCAGTCAGGGCTCTGCTGGGCAACAGGGGCCGACAGAGCGAGTGGAGAAGCAGAAAATTTCCAGGAAGGAATCAAATATTTGAAAACGCAGATGAACCCGAGCTCCTATTATTTTATGGAAAGCTCGGAACCACCACCCGCTGTGGAAAACACGTTTCCATTGGCAGAGCCAAGGGGCAAACCCGGGGTGCTCACTCACCTACAGCTGCTTCCAGCAGCCCAGGCAGAGCCTGCAGCCGGCCCAGCTGCCCACTGCTGGAGGTCAGCTCACAAAGGACATCGAGGAGCCGCACTGTCACCAGCGCTTCCTGGGAAGGGAGAGGGCATTTCTGAAATCCCTGATGAGGAATATTGTACAAACACAAACCTGGGAACAGGAACAGGGGACAGGAACTCTCAGCACCTCGAGTTCCTTGCAGGTCTTCTAAAAGTGCCAAGAATACATTTATATAAAATGAGGACATCTCTTTAAAATAACAATAGCGTATTACACTGCAATAACTTCTTTCCTACAGCGTTATATGTGCCTGAAAACCATGGGGAAACCAAAACAGAGCCATAAGGGATAAAATTTTAACAAAAACACAGGAGCTTCCAAAAGCAGAAATACAGAAAATTGCTAGCTGAGAAAATTATTTCTGTATAAATGTTTTCTTTGAGTTTATTCAGTCGGAGTGTCCCGCTTTAAAGACACAAACACCGCCTGCAAGACACCACTTTGTTATCCGCAGGAATTCTGTAAAGTTCTGTGGTCAAATGAACTTTGGCTGCGAGAATTTACATTATTCTTGGGTAAATAGGGTTGGGACCAGAGATGCAGCATATTGGTGAGGTACAAGACACACCATTTTATTTGCATATTATTTATTCAGCCAGAGAACTATTTTTTCTCATGGAATATGTTGATGCTGCTCATAATGACAATCCAGCACTTGGAGGAACTACCTTAAGAGCACTTGGCAGAATCTGGGACACCACATATTGTTCAGGTGCCAAGCTGGGGCTGCAAGATGATCCCACTCAAGGTGTGGTACATAAACTGCAAGCAGCCATGAAAAGGCTCACACGTTGGTCACAGGAACTATTCCTGCCTTGTGTGGTCCAGGACAAAGACAGGCTTTCTTACCCACAGTATAATATTTGTGAATCCCTATAATCAACATAATGTAATTAAAATCATCAACAATAGTGCTGAGTAATTAAGTACTACAATTATATTTGTTCCTTGCTCCTTGAAGACACCAAATCACTACAGGGTCCAGGTCCTAAAGCTTGATTTCCATTTTTTATCTCACACAGGTGTAAGAAGGTGCAAGCCTTGCCCTAAATTATTCAATAGATTGCCTTCAACAGCACAAAACCAGACTGTAAATACATCAGCCATTATCCTGCTACAAATTAAGAACACTTCAACTGTATTTCAGAGACAGTAACCAGTTATTTACAATTTTTAAGAGCAAGAAATTATTTAAAAACCACAAAAGAACTCCCAAATTCTTATCTACATTTGAAACTCAACAATTTCAAAGAAACTGTTTAAACATCTCTGGTTGACTCCCTCCCCTGCTGTCAACCAAATTTTCTTTTGCCCTCCCACCTGTACAAAAGGAAGGCAGTAAAGGAGAATACTTCCTTTTGAAGTTCAAACCCCCCAAATATTTTGAAATCTGAGAGCCATCTTGATATGGATATAATCTGAAAAGCAAATAAGGAAATAATCGAAGAGTTTTTAAATAAACATATTTTGAGAGATATGCAGAAAAGATATTCCTTATAAAGAGATGAAATAACAACTTCAAGTCCAGGGAAGGGTTTTATTTTGCAAGCATGGCTGAAAGTTAGTGCAAGCAAACTGATGCTGAAGTCAGGCTTAGAATGGAAAAGCTATTTTAAATGTTGGTTTAAGCACTGCAGAAGCATATGATTAACTTCTCATGGGTTTAAGATGGAAGCTACAAGACCTGAGGTTCCTTAAGGAAAAAGGCAGTGCCTACATATAATAAATTAAACAGTGGATGGGACACCCAGACAATATTTTGGGAGCCAGGCCAGCCCAAGGGCTGTTCCCAAAAGGCAGTTTCCATGTGGCCTTGGAGCTCTGGAGTCCAGGGCAGATCAGTGGCACAGAGCCTGGAGTCCAGGCAAAGCTGAGTTCAGTGTCACACATGTTGCCTAAAGCATTTTTAATGACAGACTCCACATGCACAACTGCATTTTTTGCAGTCAAACACAACTCTTACACAAAATCTAAAATATTTATACAATCAAGGAGAAATTGGTGCAATTCTTCATGATTTCTGGTAAGAAAACAAACAGTTTTATGAATTTGGGCTGGAATTTCTCTTTTCCCATGGCAAGCATGAATAAATGTATACACACAATACACATGCACACATACTGCCCTCCAGTTATTCAGCTATTAGGACTCATATTTGGTGCTCATTCAATGAGCCCCACTTCCCACTAGTGACACTCAACTTAGAGCACATTATGTTTATGTGAGAGAGGAATAAGAAGTCAGTGTCAAGCAGGTCGGGTTATTCAGTAATATTCACAATGCTGCTGCCCCAGCACCTTCAAGTTGGACAGAGACCTCCTTCTGCTGGGTGCAAACAAATGGTTTTTTTCCCAAGAACTGAAACCACAGAATACTTGGAAAGTAACCACAAAGGATTAAAAAAAAATGGGGGAAAAAAAACCCCAAAAATGAATTGCCTCAGTGTATGTCCTGTTACTGCCAAGTTAGTACCTTTTCGAGAAATAGCCAATTAAGACAAAAAGAGATTGCTATGTGCTTGTTGGTTTGTGATTGTTTGGGGTTTTTTTTTAACACATCCAACTATCACCTCCTCATAAAGTGATTTTTAACATCTTTTCATAACAGCTCTCAAATTCAAAATTCTTGTGCCTATTTAAACAAACAAACAAACAAACAAAAAAAATCAGCAAGTCCAACAGTGTTTAACATCATCATATCAAAGCATTTAAGCCGTACCTGATCCTGTGCCTGTGCTGCAGCAGTGAACCTGAGCACGGCTCCACACTGCTCCTGGAAACAGCCCGCCAGGAAGGCAGCGTGGCTCTCCAACACCTCCAGCTCCTCACTGCCAACACAGCTCTTCTCACCCACCTTCGCCAGCATCAGCTCCAACAGAGTAACTCTGGAGGCAGAAAACAACTCGGTAATCACGGAGCCACAGAGAATGATCAGCACAATAAGCTGATACTCCCGTTAAAAACGTTACAAACAATTAGCATGCAGAGAGGATTGTAAAAATTAAGAACTCTCACCAATACTGGCAATCAGTTCCTGCCTGCTGGTTCATTTCTGCACACCAATAATTTAATTCATCGTTCAAGTAATACTATCTGCCCAGACAGTCAGTATTTTTCTCAAGTCTATTTGAATTTCTAATTTCTTATGTCCTAACACAATGTTACTGTGACTGCACATTCCCTCTGTCTAAAGTTTCCACCAAAACAGTTCTTAAAAGCAGTTGTTAAGTTCAGCAAAATAAACACAGACTATTTGTCAGCTTCTGTTTGAAAACAGCAGTTTTTCACAACCCTTGCCTTGCCCCCAGTCCTTCACTAGGTCTCCCCCAAGACCCCAAACCAATTCTGAGCACAAAAAGGAAAATAAAAAATTGATATGTAGTTTATATACCAACTGTTCTTTACAGTTTTATAATTGTCACTTTATGGACTAAGCAAATCCAAGTTCATTACTTGTATACTCAGTAAGAGTCACTCTGCATATCAAGCCAGCAAGCAAGAGGATACATAATGAAGCTGCTCTATAAAATGTACTTGGGTCATTTTTCTTAACAGCTTCAATGTCACTTTATTTCCAATACCCCTTCACACTGTCAGGGCAAACTGGAAGCATTTAGTGGAAGCAGGACTTGGAGGTGGCAGAGGCCCCCCCACAGCTCCCTGCTCCACCTGGGCTCCTGAGTCCCACCAACACCCTCTCAGCCTGAAAGGGCACTGTTCATTGAACAGATTCAGGAGCAGGCTCAGGGTTTTCTTTCACTGAAATATTTGCAATTTGGATGGAAGGACCAACATTTAAACATGTGGAATAGTTCAAATGCTTTTTCTTTTAAATTTACCAAGCAGGTTGTCAGGAGGGGAAGAGAAATGTCTTTCTGTGTGGAAAAAGCTCGGTCACTGGTTTATTAACCTCCAAGAACCCACCCCTATTAATCACGTAACAGCTCCTCAGTCCTTGCTGAACTCAGCCCTCGGTGTCACTGATCCAGCTGCACTAACCCATCCTCTGCAGGAGCACAAAGGCGGCACAGCAGCGCTCCCGGCTCCTCTGGGACAGGAGGCTGAGCCCCCTCTGCCAGGCTCTGCCTGCTCCTGCTTTGCAGGTCCCAGCAGGGCACCACACCCTGCCCACACCCCCAGGCTGACAGAGCCCAGGTCCCCAGCACTCCTCACCCACTGAGGCTTTCCCACCCGGCCCACCAGACAAAACCCAAGGGACGTGTCCTTCGCCCCCCACACAGGGCTGGGCTTGACAGGTCACTTGTCCCCAGGTGTAGGGCCTTCCCAGCACGTGCTCAGCCAAGAACACAGGCTGCTCACAGACTTGATGAACACAGGAGTCATTCCAATAAAACACTACCTCCTGCTTGGCAGGATTCTAGTCAGCTCTTGTTGCACCAATAATCCAAATAATACCCGTTCAGAACTGACAAGCAATCCTTCTGTGAACAAGCTGGAGGGTCACCACATAAACTATTCAACAGATTAAATGGTCGCCAGCAGGGAAATGTTTTGCATGGCTCTTCCTCTTGCAGTATAATTGGGTGCCTTTTTCCACAACCATAATCCTTCCAGAAAAACAGGAGTGACGTTAAAACACCACCTGCATGACATTTCTTTAGAAGGTTTTCTGTTCTCTTTAGGCATTCAAGTCAAACCGTTTTCCTGAGTTTCATTCCGGGCACAGTCATTCAGGACATGCCCATCTTTCCCTGAATTTCAAGCAAGTCTTGCCATTCAGCCAACAGTTTCCTGAGAGCAACACCCTTTGTTCGGGTGCAAGTTCTCTCACATTCCTTTCTTCTATTGTTTCTCTCAGTTTTCTTCCAAGACTCACCCTAATTTTTCCAAGTTAGTTCTCCCACACAATGCAATTTGCCCATTTCCTTTAAATGATCTCAGGACTCTTTAGCCATAGAGATGAAGAGTTTATTCCTACTTGTTTGTCTAAATACAACAAATATGTATATACTTGGAGCTAAATACAACAAATACGACAATTGTTATTACCAACTGAATTTTTCTAACACTCAGTTCAGTATCTAAAATTCTGTATATTTTATTTATGATTATACTTCTCTTTGGAAATAATCATGCCCTGTCATTTTCCTTTTCCTTAGGTACCACTGAGGAACACTTTCTGTGAATCTCTTGCTTTCTTTCCTCTAGCCAAATTTAAACCAGTTCTTCTTGATGCTGACTAAATTGGCATGAACTGAACTTAGAACAGCTACAATAAAGTATCTGCAATCATCAGTAAAACAAACTTCTGTCTCCTACAGCCTGCAAATAAACCACAGCATTCAAGTGCAATTTTAAATCTGGAAGCTCATTACTACAAAATACAGTGCTGTCTCACTAAGCCTAAAACTAGCAGTGTAAAATTCTATTGATTTTATTATCATCAATGTTTGCATCAAGCCCGCCAGCCACTGAGTGCCAGACACTTGGGGCATTATTCCTCTAACTTAGACTCCTCTTTGCTGAAACACTTCCCTGACAGCAATGGCTCCACGAGACAAATGAGGTCCTTCCTCAAAGCTTCCACTTCTTTCACTTTCCAATGATACTTGCAAGCCTTGTATGAAATGCAAAATGGTGAATTTGTGTGTGGCTGTAATTCAATGCTGCTCTGTGTCTGTGGGTACTGCCAGGGACAGACTGAACACGAGCATGAAGTGGAGCCACTTACGGGACTGCAGTGCCCACTTCCTGGCAGGCAACTGGATCCCTGGCTGCATCCTTCCCTCAGGACACCCCCCTGGCACAGCACAGACACCAAACCCAGGGGTGCAAGGAGCTGAGCAGCTTAGAAACACCTGAAGCTATTCCCCTGCATTTTTCTTGCTGTTAATTACAGAAAAACCCCGTCCTAAAAGGGACAACACAGATGTACACATCCTGAAGATTTTACAGTGTAATTAAGGCAATCAAGGCATTAACTTACATTGTCCGTGCTCAAGGCTAACTTGGATGAAAGCAAAACAGGCTTTTTCTAAATACTTCTGCCAAATACCTGCACACACGTGCAGGGACATCTCCAATCTGCTGAAAAATTCAAGAATCTCCACTCTTCTGGCTCAATACTGTGGCCAAAAGCTTCTCCAACAGGCCCCTGCAGAGAACCAGCAGGCATTGTCACAACCTCCTGGGATCATCCACGTGATCCTGCACCAAAATCCCTTCAGCTGAGGGATCCAATCCCCGTCTGTACCACGGGGTGCGAAACAAAATCAGCCCAGAGCTCTCTGGAGACTGATTACACTTCCTGCTTTAAGGACAACAGCACCCTCACCCAGTCCTGCCTGTCCTCAGGGGCATTACAAAAACATACAAACCACCTGCCCTTCATGGTATTCTCCAAAAGAATTAAATCCAGCTCATTCACTTAAAACAGTCCTTCCCACCAGCTGGTTAAGGAGCCCCTACCTCCAGGCACATATTTGTTCAGCTCATACTTGTTCCCATTTGGTCATCCTGAATTATGGAGAGAGGCAGTATTTCCCTCCTCACCATTCCCATCCCATCCCTATACATTAATGATATTTAATTTATGGCTCAAACCCATCACATACTCTTTGTTTGCCTGACACCCCTTTTGTTTCCTTATAGTCTCCAGTCAGTGCCTGCACCCTCATTTGTAATGACACTGGAAACACCACAACACACAGGAAAAACCACATTAAGGCACTGTTTTGTTTAGTGCTTTGTCTCTCACCTGCAAAAACTATGTAGGGGGAACTTACAGCTTCCCTGAGCAGGGGGGGAACAAAGCAGCCATGGTGAACACACAAGCAAGACAACATCATCTTCAAGCAGCTGGAGGAGCTGTAGAATTCTAGGACGGGTTTTCCCAGAGTTCGTTGCCTTAAAACAATTTTTTTATCTTCCCCAATTCTCTATTAAAGCAATTGTAAATGAGCATTTTCCCACTACAGCAATGGCCATTTCCCATTAATTCAGCACACATTTACTCAAGCAGTTGAAGGAAAACCAGCTATGCTTCTTCAAGGTGAAGGTTCCCTGAAGTTTCTGAACAGTGAAATATTAAAAGATTATGTAATCATGGGCATCTGCACATGTAGGTTTGTAGGTTCTGCTCACCAGTACTGGACACACTTCCAGCTTCAGTAAAGACCTCCTTTTAATTTCTTGTCATTACAACAGAAGTATGAACAGCTGAGGATGTTTCTAACGGAGCTGTAAAACCCTGCAGGGTGTGGTGCTCTTCTGAAATCAAGAGCCAGGCATGAAATCCTGCCCTTTTTTTTCTTGTGTGAAGTATTTCTTTACCAAGTAATGGCGCCAACCTGGATTCTGCAACCCTACATAAATCACTGCCAGTTGTGGCTAAGCTGTAATGTTAACCAACCAATTTAAAACCATTACTGACATAGAAACATGTATTTAGAGATTTTGTGCCAACTCTGAAACCACACAGTTTTTCAATCATGTGAACAGGATACTCTATATGGAATGCTAAATACTCAAAGCCACACTGGGTTTTGGGGTTACCTTTCTTGATTGCTCAGTTTGGTGTAGAGGGCTTTTACCAGCTCGGGACATGGCAGCAAATGGTCTGTAACAATCAGCAACCTGAAGGAAGAAAGGAAAAAAGTGTTACTGGTGCTACAAAAGCACCATCTACATTTATTCCAAATAGTGCTGGTTAATTTTACTTGCAGATGAAGGGGTGACATCCTTTTGGTCCTGCTTGCTGAAAGACAGAAATCCAAAACTGACAACAGCCTATTCTTTCTTAATAATTCCTCTGGAAAGCGTGGCCAGCCTGCCCTTGTGCCAGTATTTACACCCACAGCAGTCCATAGCAGGTGACAGGCCTTTAATTTCAACCCAGACTCGTACTCTCAGCATTATGGGGGAAAAAAAAAGTAGGTAAAAATATTTATCTCTTCAAATTACACTGCTAAGAGCACCTACGGTGTCATTTATTCCTCATAGGTACACACAAACTAAATGATGTATTTTTAAAGCAGCATGTCTGGCTACTAAATATACAGTGATGACAGGTCAAGTCTCAGAGCATCCTCTGAGCTGATGAGGCCACAGAGAAAGAACAGCTAAAATAATATTCAAACCAAGCGATTTCAATATTCCCTCCAGCTCCTCCCTAGTTTTCCCTTTGCTGACAGCCTTTCTTTTGCGTGTCAGTAATTCACTACACAGCTAACAGCCAGATCACACAGGAGCCTTCCAGCTGCAACAGAGTACTTTTTACACAAGTGGGCAAATAGGAGAACAAGAGGTCCAAAAGATTAACAGCTATTCCATTTCTAACAGTACCTGTGGATGAGGCAGCACTGGTTCAGTTACTGTAAACAACATTTTTTAGAGGAGGAGGGAGAAAAAACTATTTTGTGCTGTGCTTTTTTTTTTACTGATATTTGTACATTTACAAATGGAAAAAACCCAGCAGAGGCATAGGGAATCATCAAGTTAAAACTGGCATGCTGAGGAGTTTCTGAGCACAAGTTTGACAAACCAAGGCTCCCCCGAAATCAGGAGCACAAATGTGTTTCACCTGAGCCGAGTCGCCAGCAGAGCAGTCCAGGGGAACACTGCCACAGTCCTGAGCCAACAACTCACAGCCACCCACCTGAAACCTTCCCAGTGGTAACACCTGACCTTATTTTTCAGATTTAACCAGGAGCACAGGCTTTGCCTGGAGCTGTGAAAGAAAACACAACACTCCACGCTGTGCAGAACACAACTTGGCCTCAGTGTACAGATTCCAGCTGACCATACAGCAGAGTGGAAGTGCCTTCAAGGACACAGCCTGAAGCCCCATTTTTTTTCCTGTAGTAGGGACTATGAATTAAAATTTTAATTTTCGTGTTTAACATTACTTTGAGGAAACCTTCTTGAAATTTGCCTCTTAATTAAAAAGCTATCCATAATTAGCATGAAAAAGGCCTAATGCTCCCAGGTGCACACCCCTGATCACTACTGCAAAGTAGAGGGGCTGGAGTTCAGTCATTCCTTGGCTCTGCATACGTTTTTCACATTCACTAGAACTCTACTGCTTGAGGAGCTTGGAGTATTTCAGACTTAAGTTTCTGCTTCTTAGCCTCCTGATTTCATGACATGATGTAACACCTTAGAAAAGAGAAGCTGTGGCTGCCCCAGCCCTGGAAGTGCCCAAGGCCAGGTTGGATGGGGCTTGGAGCAACCTGGGATAGAGGAAGGTGTCCTGCCAGGGCAGAGGGGTGGAAGCAGATGAGCTTTAAGGTCCCTTCCCACCCAAACCATTCTGGGATTCTATGAAGTGTCTGCTTCTGTATTTAAATGTCTCTTTTACCTTATCCACATCCTGCACCACTGCATCACGAAGAATAGAGCATGAGCACGTTTTCCAAGAGCATCACCAAGAGATAACAGAAGAACTATCAGCAGAGGAAAGCACTTTCAGCTCTTTCTACCAAGCCCAGAAATTTTGGAGGTAGCTAAGCAAGGATGCAGCAAACTCAATCCAGTGTCTTTAGTCCTCAGCTCTCCTGTTTTTCATTTTGGGGCAAGGGAAAAGAGGATGAAAAGTAAGCCCATCCCCAGCTCTGAAATAAAGACATTCAGTTTTGGGTTACTGACTGAACATGGCATGTCAGATGCACACAAAAGGCTTTGGGAGGAGATCGAAACTCTCTTTGGGGGCCAACAGCAGAACCACTGGGATAAACTGAGGACCACTGTAATTTAGTGAAGGAAATGGTGAAAATTAAAGCTGTTATGCAAGCGTAACACAGGAACAAATGAACAGTGTTAAATCTGCCAATTTTCTTGACTTTTTAAAAATTGTTTGGCTAAAATCCTAAAAAAATCCAGTGCTTCCCTAGTAGATAAATACAGGAGGAGATGTTCAAAGACTTTCTAACAGCACAAGGGCTGTATTGTACCAGACTGAAGTTGAGAAGCAGCCAAGACAACGTGGTATGAGCTGCATTTGCACTCAGTGTATTCCAAATGCCCACTAAGCTCGCTCCAATCCAGGCTGGGTGTAAGCAATCAGCTTCATCATCAAATGTCATGCTCCACATTAAGTTGATTTGATCCCATTAGCAAGTTTAGAGAACAGGCTCCTCAGTCTCAGAAAGTGAGGAAGAAAACCCCAACAAATGTTTTCAAAGTACCAAGAACAAGACACGGCAATTCTCTACTTGATCAGCAACTTTCTCTTTCAATCTCAAAACCAAAAGCATTTTTCATCACCCTGCAATAATGCCACTATCCAAAATATTTAGTAAGAACTAAGTAGCTATCTTTTTACTGTAATTTAACAGACAAATGTAACAAATCACCCAAATTTTGAAGAAAAAAGGTAGAAAATTCAGACAGCTAACCTTTCAGAGTGTTATCACCAGCCTTTTTAGATGCTTAAAAAGCAATGTGCCTCATGAGGAATTGTTTGGAACCAGAACATATTTTAGAAGCAGAAGGATATTTCAGACTTGCCCAAGAAAACAACCCTGTCAAAAACATTTTAAACCCAACAATTACAATTATTTACTAACAAATGGAATATGCGTTGTCATAACACCTCCGTAAAGAAATCATTCACCCCACTCCAACACCAGCACTTCTCACTCAAGAGAAGAATAAGGTTGAACCCCAAGTCCCAATCCTCCTCTCCTGTGGGCTGTGCTCCAAGTACAGCACTGAACATCCTTCCATCTTCCAGAGGCATTCCAGAATGGAAGCACCCTGTCCGCAGGCCACCACAGCGCCCATCCACCGAGTCACCCCTCAGGTCTAGAGGGCCAAGTTCAGATTATGTGCAGTAGTTCTCTGATACAGAAGGCACTCCCACTCAATTTGATACCTACCTGTGAAAAGCACTGAAAAGAGATTTATTTTTACTTATGTGTGAAGTTGGAACAATTTTTTTCTGAAGAGCTACCAAGAAAAAAGCTGGAAGATGATGAGCAATAGCCAACAGCACTTTGTGTTAAAAGCACTTCCTGCTCCCCTCTCTCCACAATGCACACGAGAAGAAAGAGGTGACAAGATAATGAAATGTGTGAAGCTGGGCTTTGAAAGGTTGAGGAGATCTGTGCCAATTCACTGCTACTGCAAATAGAATGTAGAAGCTGCTCAGATCTCTAGAATTAAGGAAACTTTTCCCAACTGTCAGTACTATTTGAAACCACAGTTGAACTTGGAACCTCCAACAGAACTCCGACTTTCCTGGAATTAAAAAAGGAATTACTTTCTGGAGAGGAGAAGGAGGGGCTGGGGGACATCCTAAACTGCCCAACAGAAGAAACAAATCTTCCTTCCCGTGCCAAACAGCTGACCACACTCTTAATATCGCTCTTCTGGGAGCCAAAAGGCACATTATGCCTCTTACTTTAAAATGGAGGATTTTTCTTCCTTGCTCTTCAGGAATCAAAAATACAACCTGATTTTCCTTTCCTTATTAGCTACACTGCCCCATGCACACACTTGGAAAAACTGATGACACAAGGTATACTCTCATCTCTAATGGAGGGACCAAAGTATTTCTAAAATAAACAGCTTTTAGAATACACATTGGTCTTGGTTAGGGTAAATTATAATGTAATTTGGTACCATTTTTTCCTAATTATTTTACAAAACACATATGTTTGCAGGTCCAATATTCTAAAATAGATCTCACATGACGATTTCTGTTCTAAATACAGCACCTTCTAAACTGTGCAACACACTGTGCTGCTGCTGATTAACACAAACCCCAGAGGAGTGGAAGTGGATGTCTGGGGAAACACAGAAAAAAAGACCTTTTAAAGGCTCCATGATTTCCCAGAGCCTAAGGCATAGCTCTTTACATATTTAAGAAACAGCTTCTACTGAAAAAAAAATCAAATAAAGGGGCAATGGTTGGCAAACCTTCTCAGCACATTGCACCTTGGGAGGAAGGAGGGAGTTTGTTACAGAGGGCTCTCCAGGTCTTGTAGAAATCCCACAGAAACAAAGGGAGTAGGGAATACATTTCAGCTACTGAACAGTGTATTCCAGCTTTGTTTCCTAAAGAAAGGTTGTGTCCAACTCCCTGACAGCATTTTGTAGGCAGCAGCTGCTGAAAGCAAGCAGCACTGGAAAAGGGAATTACCTTCTGGAGTAAGGATGTTTGCTTATGAGTTTAAGATACTTAAACATTAACACATTTAACTGTTGGAGCAAGTCCAGAGGAAGCCACAGAGTTGATAAGGGGACTGGAGCAGCTCCCCTATGGAGACAGGCTGGGAGAGTTGAGACTGTTCAGCCTGGAGAGGAGAAGTTGAGTGGAGACCTCACAGCACCTTCCAGGATCTGAAGGGACCCTACAGGGAAGCTGGAGAGGGACTGTTCATCAGGAACTGCAGTGACAGGACCAGGGGAATGGCTTCCCACTGACAGAGAACAGGTTTAGATTGGATATTAGGAAGAAATTCTCCCCTGTGAGGGTGGGGAGGCCCTGGCACAGGTTGCCCAGAGAAGCTGTGGCTGCCCCATCCCTGGGAGTGTCCAAGGCCAGACTGGACAGGGCTCTGAGCAACCTGGGCTAGGGGAAGGTGTCCCTGCCCATGGCAGGGGGTGGGACTGAATAAGCATCACAGTGCCTTCCAACCCAAACCATCCTGTGACTCTGTGTGTTCAACTCAGCATGTCAACAGCTCAGAATTAAATCCACGTATCATCAGAGACACACTGGGAAAATGGAAGATAGAGAGAAAATGAAGTACTGTCACATAAGGCCTTGGAAAACCTGCTCATCCCTTTGAACAGAAACGTAAGATGAAGAGAGTGGTGGAGGAAACAGAGCCAAAAGATCACAATTGAAGAGACAGATCTGCTGCTTCTCAGGACTAAGTAACACTAAAAGAAAAGGGAAAAAAAAAAGATCTCAAGAGAGTGGAAACAACAGAAGTAAGAAGTTTAAAAACTTCCCATGTACAAGGAAGCATTTTAGAGGGAATGCTAATCCCAGAACTGATCATGAGCAGAGCAAGCTGGAAGTAATAGATCATTAGCTGCCCCTGAAAGGGAGATAAAACACATGCAGTATCAGAAGAACAAATGAAGGTGAAGAAAATGGGGCAAACAGGTATAAGATGAATCACAAAAAGGCTCTAGAACTAGTAAGATTCAGGAAAATCAGCCCCTTTAGGGCAAGGAATTCTCTCTTTCCCTTTCAAGGCAATGCTGTTGGAACACCTGCTCAGTGTTTGATATTACAGTGGTGCAATGCACTTTTTGGGTTAGATTTTGCACTTGTGAATGCACCTGACCTGTGTTGACTTGAAAACAGTGCCAACATTCCTGAAAGATTTCCATTTATAATTCAGACTGCACAAACTGCCAAGAAACATACTACAAACTCATCATTTTTTCTTTCAATTGGAAAACCTGATAATGAGCTCTGAGACTTTACGAGCCAATAAAGTACTAGGAAAGAAAACCAAATGTATTATTTTCTTAAGGGCTGGAAGAAATTCCAGTGCTTTTCCCCATACGAGGAACTGAGCATTCTGACAGGAATCAGAGGGCAAACTTTCTGCAACTGCCTTATGGCAGGGCCAGGGTTACCCCTTCCACTCCTCTCTTTTCCTTCATCAGGGTCTTGTATCTTGTATACAAGTTTACCCCTTTTTAACTTGAAGACAACAACCTTGAAGAGAGTCTCCCACCCACCTCAAACATCCACAGTGGAAGTAAGACATTTTCATCACAAGATCCACAGAATGTACTTAAGACTGGAGAGATTAGGGAACTGGATCCCTCAGCATTCATTTTCATGCTGCGTTTATTCTGCAATTACCTTCAAAACATAAATTTACCACCACAGCTTTCATATCTCAGTCAAAACACATTTCAGTCCATCAATACATAAAGAAAATGAAGGATTATCAAGATAATTATCTGAAAACTAACCTTTCTGTTATTGGAAATGACAAAGCTAGACTTAGTTTGCCACTTCTGCAACAGAAGTCTCGTCACCTGACCCTGAAATTTACAGTTTGCTTTCTGAGAACTATTTATGTCCTAAGCAAATTGACCTTATCACAAAAAAAGGCCAGCCACAAACAAAATTAAAGTCATTTTTTCAGTACAAAAGCAAACTATTAAATGACATTTGATTTTCATTCAATCATCTTAACTCTCTTTAGAGATTTTCCAAATATCTAGTAAAACCCCCACAATTCTTCCTAATTAAATTCTAAATTTAAACATGACCTTCAAAAGAATGCTACAAAAACATACAAACCATTTTTTCCCCTTGGAATACATCACATAATGAGCTGAATGTGTATCCTCGCTGTGCAGGGCAGAACATTCATCAAATGCATAACTGACAACAATATTTACAAGAATGGCCATTAGCAAAAAAACCCACAAAAGCTCAGTAGAATAAAACTACTGATTAGGTGCCTTAAAGTGTGAAAATAAAGATTCACAAACAAACCAACTTCCGTTTTGGTATAAAAATGATGGCACCTTGCACCAGACAACAGATCTGTTAACAAAGAAAAGAAAACCCCCAGGTTTTGTGTGGCACTCCCAAGCATTACTCATACAAGTCTTCCTTGTCTGTGCTAACTTTAAAAAACCTCCACAGATCAGCACACAAATATAAATTAGTTAGAACCCTGTTACATTAAAAAAAAAAAGAAAAACAGATCATGATTTGAAAATTCTGTTATATATCCACAACCAAAAATGTAGCCTTATTTTAGCAACAATCAAAACAGCCATTGAAACTATCATGAAAATTTCCTCTGTACTAAGTGGCTAATTGCTAAACAGATCTGCATTTACCACCCAGCAGTGTCACACACTGAGACATTTTAACCCAGAGATTTTACACCAGGAAAAGCCAACTCTAAAGATACATACGACCACTCGGACTCCAGCTGCTCCCTGTAGACTCTCAGGACGTGCAGAGCCACAGCGAAGTTCCCAGGGTGCAGCAGCTCTCCCACCTTCCCCGGGTCCAGGCAGGTGAACAGGACCATGCAGCAATAGGCAACAACCTTCCTGTCGCTGTGCGTCAGGCACGTCCTGCCAGGGAAAACAGGGAGGGAACAGCACCTTAAAACGAGCCTGGAAAAACAGGCCCGTGGCAACGAGCTGCTCTTACAGACAACCACGAGTTGGTCTCTGCCTAGGAGGGACAGAATTCACCCCAAGTCCCAGCTGAAGGTCAAACTTAACAGGAAATTTGAAAATATTCACGCGAAATTAGAACTAACTGGAGAGCAAGAAACTGGGGGAAACAATAATAAACTGCTTCTCTGTTCATAAGATCTTTCTACACCCAGTGCTGACAAACAGCTTCAAAAACCCACTCAGAACAATTCTCAAGTTGAATGGAAGTGCCTTTGTCGCCAGCTCACTACAAAAAGTCTGGGCAAACACATCAACTACGTTGCCATGTGTCTGCACAGAACAGTTTATTTAATATTTCATTTCACAAACATCATGAAACCTCCAGGAAGATATGCTGGTGAGCTCAGGAAGGGGACAAAATGATTGGAAGATGCAAAGATTAATGGGCCTTTGTAGATTCTGTGTGATCCAGCAATACTGAAAGGTCTGCACAGCGGTGAAAAAAGAAAACGCTGCCTTCTTGGAAATGAGTTTAACTGCTTGAAAACACATCTGAAATACAGCTCATGGCTGAAGCTCGTCATTCAAAATAGAGTTTTCTTCCAGTTTCCACCAAATTAAATCAATTTACGGTTAGCATAGAACAAGCAGGTTTTGAAAGGCCCTGACCCCTGCGGTTGGCTAACAAAAAACATCTACAGGATATGGTCTCAACCATCCCCTCCTCACCAAAGTTATTTTTCAGAGTTTCATGGTGCAAAGGGCACAGCCATCATGTGCAAGAGATTTGAACACAACCACAGAAATGACACCAGGAGAAAATCCGCCTCCATGCTTACAAGAAGAGATCTGGGAAAGCACACTTCCAAAGGCTATTCTGGGAATCTCCATTTCCTGCTGCAATGTTTCCAAGAAACTGGAGACTACAACGAAGAGCTGAAAAAAAACCCAGAAAATAATATTAACAGGAATTCAAAACAACACTAACACATTTCATGTAAACGACATTTCAGCATTACAGACACACAGTGCAGAACCATCTCCACAAAGCTTCAGGTGCAGTATTTCACTGCTACTGTACATAAATATCTGCATTTTCTCTTCCAATGCAAATAATTTTACAAAATATTTTAGAATTATACACAGGACTTGTTTGGTTATTAAACACTGGCAACTAGTGATGACAAGAAGTAATTGACAGTTCCTTGCTACTCACATCACATTATGCTTAGCTGGTCAAATCATTAAAGAATATGATGATGTGCTCAATACTTGCTAATTTCTATCCCAGAAAAATCAAAGCCAGCACTCCAAGTTACTTTGCCTCCAATTTTAACACTGAATTTAATATGGTAGATTTCTGCTCTTACTACAAAGGATTTATTCTAGCCTCCTCTCAATACAGATTTAAATATGGGAAGATGGTATTTCATCACACAATTTAATATCCTAGAGCAGCCAAAAGGTGTAAATTCACAAAAAAAGAAAAGCATGAACCCACAGACCTCACAAAATTAAACCACTTTTGCTAGCCCTATTGACAGCTCTCAATAGTCTGGCCCTTGTTAACAGGCTGGCAAAGAAACCTCAAATTAAATGTTCAAATTCAGTTTAAGAGCTATTACAAATATCAGCTTATTACAGATGGAGGTGGCTGATATTGCCAGGTTCTGTAAATCTAAAATTAGGTCTCTTGGAAGGATGTTGTGCCAGCTGGCAGCCAGATTTCCTACAGAAGTCTGGGCATATGTTCCCTTGGGAACAACAAGAAAGTAAGTCAAAAATGAGGTCACTGGGGCTTAGGGAATAGTAAGTTGTCCTTCCATATATATATATATATATATATGTTTAAGCCCAAAGTATGTATGTCTTCTCCATAATGCATTTTGAATCCTATTCCCCTCTAGTTGTGATGATGCCCCTTCTCTCCCTGCACATCTGCAGTGTTCCATTATCTCCTGCTCATCCCTGCGCTTCCGCTTTTCCTGCCCATCTGCTTCCCACCCTGCTGACTCAGGAGTTTGCTGAGGGACAAGCACAGGCACACCAGAGGACACCTTATGGGAAAAAAAAAACAACAAAAAGGCAGCAAATCCTTGGAACAGGGTATTGCTTCCCTTGGGGAATTCCTTACCTACGCTGTGAGGAGAAAGGCCTCCCAAGGATACAAGAGGTTGGCTGATTATACCCAATCTTTCCCTGGAATTTGCTTGACCTTTTCCAGCTATGAATTACACTTTGGTCATTAGAGATAAGTCTGTCCAAAAACTACTACAAGACTAGGGAAAAAACACCACAGATCTTTTAAAGTTACCATTCAGACACAGCTTTTCTCCTCTGCAAAAAGTTCATCGCCATAAAATCACAGAATCCTGGAATTGTTAAGCTTGGAAAAGACCTTTAAGATCATCAAGTCCAACCATCAACCCAGCACCAACATGTTTCACTACTACATCATGTCCTCAAGTGCCACACCTACATGTTTTCTGAACACTTCCAAGGATGGTGACTCCACTGCTTCTCTGGGAGCCCTTTCCAATGCTTGACAACCTTTTCTACGAAGAAGTTTTCCCTGATATCAAATCTAAACGTCCCCTGGCACAACTTAAGGCCATTTCCTCCCATGGCCTTTCCATGCCCTTAGAGCAAAAGCAAGAAAATCTAGAAGCTGATGAAGACAGCCTTCCATTTTTCCATCTGGTCAATGTGCTTTCTGAAAAGGGGAGGAAAAAGGAAAAAAAAGAAAAAGAAAAAAAAAGGGGCAAGACTATTTCACTTTTCCCATGAAAATGCACACATCTCTATGAAGTTAAAAGCAATTATCAAACACCAACTTAAACAATTCTATAGCTATCAGCACAGCTAAATTTTAACTGAAAAAATGTTGCTCTGTGTGTGGTCACCAGGACTATTTTTAACCTGATGGTCAACCACTGGGAAATTACATGTACTAAGATGTAACTTCTGATATGCAGATGGACCCTAGAGCTGAAGAGATTTTCGCCCTCAGTGAGACTTCAATAGCTGCTGCAAAAGAAGGGTGTTCTTTGGCAGATGCAAACACACAGAATGCACCTTGCCTTCTCAACCAGCCTGCCCTGGGTTATGGACACTTCTCTAGGTTCTGCAGAAACAATCTCTTTATACACCAGGGCAAGGGGTACAAGTGGAAACACTGACTCTTTAGCTAATGAATTTTGGTACCTAAATGCTTGTCTACATGTAAACTGATCTTTAGAGTCACTCCAGGCCACCCATGCAAAAGGTGAGGCAGCTGATCCTCAGAGGCCCTGCAGGAGGATGGTTTAAATGCACTCCAGCATGTCAGTACCTTCAGCATCACAGCTCCCCCTGTTCCCTGCAGTCCCTTATGACAACATAGCAACTGAAACAGGTTCTAGTGCATGCTTCTCAATTATTAGATTGCAATTGTATCATTTAACAATAATACTATACGGTCGGAAGGACACAATCCCAGGATGGGTCAGGCTGGAAGGGACCACAGTGGCTCATCTGGTCCCACCTCACTGCTCCAGCACAGCCAGCCCAGAGCACATGGCACAAGATTGTGTCCAGAGGGTTCTGGAATATCTCCAGTGAGGAGACTCCACACCCTCTCAGGTCTCTGTTCAGTGCTGGGTCACTGCCCAGCAAACAAGTTCTTTCTTCCTCCTGTCCAGGTGGAGCTTCCTGGGCATCAGTTCCTGCCCGTTCCTGCTGTGCCATTGCTGGGCCCCCCCAGCAGAGCCTGGTCCATCCTCTGCCCCCTCCCTGCAGCCCCTGACACACCCTGGGGAGGGCCCCTCTCAGGCTCTGCTCTGGAGGCTGAACAGCCCCAGCTCCCTCAGCCTTTGCTGCTCCCAGAGATGCTCCAGTCCCTGAATCATCTCCAGCCTCTGCTGGACCCGCTCCATGAATCTCCACAGGCCTGACCTGTGTCCTTCTCCTCACAAAGACATCACTTCACACAGTGTCATTTGCAGAATCCGATTTTGTATAAGATGAAAACTTAATCCCTGAAGTTCTTAGAACAAAGACTTTAAGCATTAGGATTCTGAAATACAATACACTGTTTCCTTCTGCTCCACATGGCTGGAACAGCAGCCCTTGAACTTGCTCACGGATCACCTTGGAAAACCTTGACAGCAGCTGTAGAGGCTTAAAACAGGCCTAAGAGATTTCCATTCTTTTTATTTGAGGCAGACAGCACAGTGATGGCTGTGATCCTCGGCCTCCACTGCAATTATAAAACAAATAGAGATATAAAACAAACCCAACCAAAGCTGCACAGCATCGCTGGTCAGACTGCAACATCAGGCCTGCAAACCTGTCATTTAATGCTCTGCTAAGCACTAACATGCAGGAAGGGCAGAGCTGCAGTGCCCCCTCTGCACTGGGCAGGCACTGAGGCTTACAAGGACCTGGAGCACATCCCACTCTGCCAAGTGCCCTCCAGAGCACCTCTGGTTGTTTGTAAACAATGGCAGAATGCTCTGTGGTACACTGCCACCCCTGGGAAAATAAAACCTCCAGCTCAGCAGAAGGTGTAGACCTCTATTACTACAAAATGCGAGTTTCCACCACTACCATCCGGTCATTGACTTGTTTCCTTGTGGCTGCAAGTTAAAGCAACTTCCAGTCATAAAAAGAGTTATTTGCCTCTTCACCACCATGAATCATACCACAAATACTGATGAAAATGTATTTTCCTTGGAAAACAGTCTGTCTAGACTACTCAAATTGAATGTCCAATACATATATGGGCTCTGTCATTTAACGTTATTAAAGCAGCGCTCAGGATTTTATTTCTGTAAATAAAATGAACGTCTAGCTACCGATGTGATTTCCGCCTTGATCTTCCTGCACTTGCTGCAGTGCAGACTAGTAACCCACTTTTACCATCTGTGGAATACCAGGAATGTTGTGTTTAATAAGTTTCTGCTCCCACTCCTCATCTCCTCCACCTCCAAAACAAAGTCGGACTCTTAATTTTTTTTTTTTCTTTCCCTCCAGAAGTGCCAACTCTAATATTACCAGAACATTCCGTGCACTGACTGGACAACCTCTCTGTTCTTGCAAGATAAACATCTAGGCAGAGTATCAACACCGTGTTCTGACTGAACAGGAGCATTTGACTCAAAGGCCAGTGAATCCCCACCACACTATCAGGAATGTGGAGCCACAGATGAAGTAGAAGGGAGTTTGGAAGAAACCATCAGAGCACGCATCAAATTAGCCTCTGATGCAAATTAAGTTCTAATGAAGTCTCACAATGGGAGACTCCAAAAAATTTATTTCTGCATTTCCTAGGAAGGAAAAGAGTCAGTTTGACAGACCACTGAGGACATGAAGTTCACACTGACTCCGATTCAAACAGCATTAGCAAGGCTTATTAAATACAGTAACAGGACCATTTTCTTTAGCTCCTGGTATTTTAATTGCATCATTTCACTTTTCGAAAGTAAACATAAGTGGTCATTTCTTTAATAAATTATCTACTAAAATCTAAAGGCACATGAAATGGGACTCCTGTTACATCCCCCCAAGAGCAGAAACACATGCCTGAGATTAGTTTCCTATGTGAAATAAAACACATCTAAGTGCTTGCAGACCTGGAACTGCATTTATAAGCTTCCTGCACACATTAGCATGTAAAATCTTGTTCTTGAATCAGTCTAAAAGCTGAGCCTAAATCTAACAGACAATGTCTCTTTAAAGAAAGACCCTGCTGCAGCAAAATCAGCAAGTTTGAAGTACTGGGGAGTCTCAACCTGGGCTTAAACCATGCCAGGAAACCAAGAAAAATAACAAGAAGGACTGGCCACCCACTATGCATTACTTGTGGTGTCTGACCCTATGACACACTCCTACATGAGACCTTGTACAGGCCTGAAAAAAAAATGAAAAAAGGAAATTATTAACACGTAAAATACTAA